ATCTTCCTTGATAGATTGAGAAGAGAATACTTCATGTTTTTGTTTATTGAAATTTATGGGTGCAATCAATTGTATAACAATATTTGAGACCGCAATATTATCCAAAAATGTCTGCACTAGAAAGTTTAGGAATAGTATTTATGACCCTAGCCTGAGACATTACCTAGATCTGGAGAAGAAAGTTTGCTGTGCGTATTCTTCTTCAATATACACTTTTGCTAAGCTCAAAAATAGCACAAACTCCATTTTCCTTCTATTGGATAAGTATGCAAAAGAAACACTTAAGGATAATTTTCAAAGCAAAACTAATGCCTTACATCCTAACAAAACTTGAAAACCATGGTATAAGAAAAAGAAAAATAATGTGGAAAGTTCCACCAACACACCGACCAAGGAATTCTAAACCAGGTAAACCCAAAAGATATGAATTAACTTTGGGTTCTTTCCTTCAATTGTATGGAGTATGTAGAATGTAGAATTTCATATTTCAACTTTATTGTCCCACCTGCTTTTAAGATTTTCCTAATTCTATCACAAGCATCTAATACTGATACAAAACTTTAAACTTTCTTGTATTATGTAGATTCAAAAAACTTCTCGTTGTTGAGAGAACTTAAGGAGGGTAAATCTGTTAATTTGGCTTGCAAGGTAATTAACCGTTTTCTTTGCACTCATATGATTTTACATAGTTTAGAATTGTACTTTAGTTGAGACCTTTCTCCCTGTGAATTCATTATTGTAGGGTTGTCAAGTTGTATTCCAATATAATTCAACTTTCCGATATTTTTCATCCTTTAAACATTTGCCACCTCCAGGTAATTAATGTCCAAGAGTTTGGTAAAGATGAATGGATAGGCTTTCTTTGGGATGGAACTGATAGCAGACCAAACAGTCTTCCTATTAGGTAGTCACTCACTTTCAGCTTATATCGCTGTTCATAAAGAATTCAAGGTTGGTTGGTGGGTTTTTTGTTGGGTGTGGAGGCGGTGTCATGGGTGGTCAGCCAAGGATTTGTTAGCGAGCTTGATAGTTGCCATTTGGTTGTATAAGCCAACAAGGGGAAGTTTAGCGGTTTTCTATATGAATGAAAATTATGATTATATGGGTATTGGGATTGTGGTGGTGCAATGTCCTATGTGATGAATCGATGAGCTGTGTTTAAATGTTCATGTTTGGCAGTAAGAGATATCTCCTTGATGTAAAATTTGCTTTGTGCTGTTATTTGCACTTGTGTCATTACTGATGTAAACTACAAACCTTAGGCTAGAAGATGAAAAGGACAATCCACTTCCACTGCATTTGGAATCATTGCCTTTGCCAAGAGATAAATTAGACTCTTTTCCTGTTGTTGGAACTATCTTGAGGGTGGTGTTTGACCAACGTATCAAGAAGCATGGCCTTCAGTTGCTAAATGCCAATGTTGGTGAGTGGATGAAATTTATAGATGTACATTGTGAGGTACGTGCGGGATTATGGCGTGGTGTGCTGACACCCTTAACAAAGGTCCGATATACACCTAACAAGGATCATATTGTATCAGAGCGCCAAAGGTTGATGCTTTGAACTGAGACATTAATTGAAGAGATATATCTTATCTTATTGTGTCACAAACTTCCACAGTAAAAGTTTTATGCAATAATTATTTCAGTATATATGAGAGGCGGTTGCATAAGAGAAATGGGCGGATTCCATATTGGAGCTTTCCTTGGATGTCACATATAACAGGTTAAATTGGCTGTTTTATCTCATCTGTATCCTTCGTGTTTCTCATACATCAGCTAAAATTTTCCGTCATTGCTTTGGAAGTTCATGATCATGATCTGTTAATATTTTCTCTTCTCTCAGAGATTGACTACAAAGATGTGCCTTTTGTTACATTAATGGATGTTCTTACTTATCCAGAGGTAGCATATTTATTCTTTCTTCTCTTCGTAGTTAGCTAGTATTTTCCCTTCCATTGATGTTTCATGTGAGTACGTTCTAGTCCAGTTATCTTTTTCATAGCAAAATTAAATATAAACAATCAAATGAAAACTTGAGATTGCAGTTATATTAATATGTGGAGATGACAGAGCATTGCATTGTTGGTATTGTAGTTCTTCTAATTACATGACAAACTTGTGTGTTCAAGGTGATAAAAATATAATGGACTGCTTTATTTTATTAGACACAATGTGCCTGTCATTTTTTCCTCCTTGTTTATTTCCGAAACTGAATGTCCCTCTGTTATTTAGAAGGCACTAAACTTGTCTTTTTCCACTGCACGTTGTAACTAATTGTAAATGACATTGGAATTCTGATGGTTGTTCTGTTTTGATCTCTCTTTAGCATGTCAATTTAAATTGAAGTTTGTAAAAAAAAAGTTTGTAGAGAAGTTTGGTCATCTTTTGTCACATGAAAGGGTGCACTTTTGAAATAGCTTCAACCGGAAGTCTCTAAGGGCCTGTTTGGTTCATGCGTTCAATCTGGTGATTCTTGATTATGACTTTTGAAATTCAAATTTTGTGACAGGAAAACACTAGTAGAATAAAAAACTATGGGTTTGAATGCATAAAACAAACGACCCCTAAGGCGAAGCCATTAGATTTCTCATTTTGCAAAAATATCTACTTCATTGAGCGGAGAAATTGCTAAGATGCTTTTATTCTTGACACCACTGGTTGAGTTTTTGAGTTGTTTGGGAAAATTGAGAGAGTCTCAGTTTGAGATTTGGCTAGTTCATCGGTGAATGTTTCAGGTTTTGTGTACAGGTAGAGTATGAGTTTCTAATGTTTCAGGTTTTGTGTACAGGTAGAGTATGAGTTTCTAATAACTTAACGCCTTGACATTTTTGGTAAAAGAAAAGACGGGACCTGATTAAATAGTCTATGCTGGGAGTAGCTTTCCTATTAAAGCAACTGAGACTTGGCCAATACAGTCTTTGAGATCGCCTTCCTTATTTCATTCATGTAGCTTTCATATAAACATGTCATTTAAGTCGTCTTCAGGAGAGGTTTCGAACCACTCCTGGCCATATACATTCTTGTGAATTTTATGACTTCGTAAGATATGAATGCTAAGAGCTTAACTTGCTTCATATAAATTATATGATATAATGATAATGCATGATAAATTTTAGCACCTGACAGGTTACAGCAAAATTCATGTGTGCTGTACGGGTAGTTGCTGCATATCCATGGCAGGGTAAAGATTTTTGTTGTTCTCGTGGAATTTACAGAGTTAGGCTGACCCTGGAGGATCCAACAGGCAGAATTCATGCTTATTTGTATGGTGAAGATGGGGTACGTGCTTGTTCCAATCATTTAACTTTTATTGCTTATTGCTTAGGATCTTAGAACGATGGTCTCTTACTTTTTCTTCCAAATGCTTGAATTTGCTTTTTCCTTTTTTTTTCTAAACTTTTCACTAAAATAATTCTTTTCAATTTAGTCAGGAATAGACCTTCAAACATGTTTTTTGCCCATAAGTCTGATGTTGTCAGAATCTTCTGGTGTTGTCCCCCCAGTTGTTATTTCCTTTTCCTTTTGTTACATCTTCCATCTTTTTTTTTTCTTTGTTGAGAAAATTTACATTTCTGTCTTTTATTACATTTTCTGTCTTGGTATCTACTATTATGCTTCTCTTTATTGTTTTGTTCATAAATTTTCATAATAGCGGTTTTCAACAGCTTTTTTACTTGTTCGTCAGCATTAAGTCTTACAGTACATTACAGTTTATGTAAACAAACGACATATAAAGCACAGCTTCACCGTAATTGTAAATTTGATAGATTTTGTTTTGCCTAAATACAATTGGGAAGAGCTCTTTTCTGTTTATTTTGCTGCTTTTTGAAAGTCTTGTGGATATTTTGCCTCAGCTGCCTTGATTTAACTTGTTATTTTTCCCATTTTCTAGATTAGTAACTTTAATTTACTTGAATCGTTGTTATTTTAATCGGTGATAGGAGCAATTCTTTGGTGGTTATCCTCCTGTGGATGTATTGACAAGGAAGCGAAATGCATTGCTTGGTGTGGCTACAGGTGATGGTGTCAGGGAAATAAAGGATGCTCCTAGAAACCCGCCATGGGTGCAATGTTGCCTCAAATCTTATTATCTGGATAAAAGTGATGTCTGGGGCACTAGACATTATCGGATATTTGGTACCAAAGTGGTTCTTACTTAGGCCATGCACCAGATACGTGCTGTAAATTTATTGTAATATTTCAAACTGGTGGTCACTGATCGCTTAGGTTTTGTCTCACATGCTGTAAATTTATTGTAATATTTGAATCTGGTGGTCACTGATCGCTTCCGTTTTGTCTCACATGCTGTAAATTTATGCATTCTCACTAACGAAAAAAAAAAGAAAAAAGGGTTCTGTCTTGAATATTTTCTTTTCTTCTCGTGTTGGAACGATGTTAAACGGCGGAAAAGAAAATAAATAATAATAATAATAATGAAAAAAAAAAGTAAAAAAGGATGTGTTTGCGTTCTTTTAAAGGCTTGAAAGTCGAGTAGATTCACAGCTGCGTCAATTTACCACCAAATGATTGACAGAACTAATGTTACGTTAATCAGTATGAATTATGATTCATACTCTGCTTCTTAAATGAGGTAGCTAGAACGCAAAAAATATATTTCAAAGGGGGAAAAAACAGAAAAGAAAACTCCTAGTTCCTGACATTTGTTTGGTAGGCAAATTCAGGAATTTTTCACATCCAAAGAAAACTGTATTTGTAATTCATTTTCCAACTTCATCACAAACCATTGAATGAAAGAATTAACATTGCTGCATGCTATTAGATTTCTTTAGTTTTGATACACTTAAAACACATTGAAATTGAATCAGTAAGTTCCAGCTCCTAAAACAGGAAGTAGCAGTGATAAAATCTATGAAAATAACAAAACTTTTTCATATGCGACGCAAATACATTTGCATTTTATCGCACCTCTTTTTTGCTATGGTACAATGTGCTTTTTGAACATTGGAGTGTCCTGTCAAAGTTCAAACTAAATTTAAGAGAGAAGAGCTGTACATTATGTATTGCAGAAGAAGGGCTTATTATATTACTATTAATTGAGAGCATTGGCGAAGAGAACCATAGTTTTTGAGACGACAAAATCGATCAATTAGGTGCAATATGATCGTCAGGGAGGTGCGGTGCAGGAATCTCGGCCGCAGCAGCAACAGCATGCCTCCGTTGTCGCTCACGAAGATATAGAACAGTAATAAGACAAGCAAAAAGAGTCAGTATTGTAGCATTCCCTTCCTCCAAGAGCACATTCTCCACCCATTCTTCAACTTTTGGATAGGCTTCGGGCAATGAATCGATAAAATGAACCTATATAAACACATACAAACAGAAACTTCATCAAGGAATAGAGCAGAGAATGGTCGAAGGACGAAGTTGGAATCTTTACTACATAAGAGTAAAAAATACATGCTATTGGTAAGAAAATGCATTCATTCAGTTATCTCTTGATAACTTGGAAAATTTGCATCAAATTAAGAACTGCAAATTCATTCTTTAGGGGACTATTCACGAGGAAACAAAGAAAATTATTAATCCAAACTTGGATCGGAGGAAGATGTAGGAATCAGGTTAATAATTCAGTATATCCACCTCAGCATTGCATCCAACAAACTCGAGATTCTGAAAATTCTTATTAATCTTCCAGTCCAGGGATCCAATTTGTGAAAGCAATTTTACTATTAGCAAAATTTATAAGGAACCAACATCTAAGAACCAAGTTCCCTTGTTTCTCTTACTTAGCTCACATTTGAGAATTGGTTTCTGATATATAAAGGTTTAACTTTTCTCACTGAGGAGCCAATTTAGTTTATGTTCAATAGTCTATGCGTGAAACGGATCCACTTTGTTTTGTTCTTCCAGAAAAGAAAAAATGGAGAAAAAAGAAAAGTGAGATAAATTTCAACCTTTTTATCAAGAAAAAAGAATAGGATGTTATGTATCAAACTTTACTATACACCAAGAGATGTATGTGAGTTGTTATCAGGGTTTTAGTCATTTAGAATTTAAAACTTTACATTTGAGATTTAGGAAACAGCGAATTGTGGTTACACAGTTCAGGCCTTCCGCATTCTTTATAAATGGCTATTCAGAACACTCTCTTACATTCAGAAGAGATTATCTAAATGGACATGTGGGCCAATATTAGTGGAATAAAACCAGCAAAGTTCATTTATTAGTAACCACGCAGGATTTTTGCAAGTAAAATTGAAAAATGCAAGCAGGTAAACTAGACCAGGAAACTCACCAGGGAACTGTCAGCATAGTTGTTACGTATCCACAAACTCATAAGAGCCAGTGTCACAGGCAACTTTGCATTGGGATCAGCCTCTAGGGCTTGGTCATAGTACCGCTTGGCCAGGTGAAGATCAAAGGGTAGTCCTTGACCATGCTCATACATGAAACCGAGATTGAACATAGCTTGCGCGTTAGATTGCGCCTTCGCATGCATATAAGCATCTGCTGCACGGTCATAATCTCTCTCGGTACCCTAAGAAACAAAGAAAAGAAGTTAGAGAGTTTCAGAAACTGTGAATAACGCAAAATGGAAAAAAATAAAGATACAAGCACCAAAACTCTTATGACAAAACTTAAATTGAATAGTAGAGACTGACAACTTTCATCTTAAGCCATACCCGACCATAATAATATGCGTCTCCAATCAGCAATGCAGCATGCTCATTGCCCTGCTCAGATGCTTGCCACCACAGAAAATGTGCACGCTGATGCCTCTCTGAGTCTGTGCATAATCCAGATTCTCCCATGCATACACTGTGTTCTCCATACTTGTCGAGAATCCATGCAGCATTACTCTGTGCTACCTCATAGCCTAGTTCCGCCATCCTTGAATACAAGAATAATGCCTTGCCAATATCTCCTTTCAAGTACGACTCCAGTGCCCATCGAGACAAGGAACTCCATGGTCCCCGCTCTGCAACTAGTTTATATAACACAGTAGCCTGAAACCAATTGAATTTATTTGTGAATTGGGACGGGTATCTATGTGTGTGTCTATCTTTTGTACATCTTACTTTCACTCGTGAAAATATTTAGGGTATCAATAAATATATATATATATATATGGACGGGTTTCAATGGTTACATTTCTATCGGGGCTACCACCAAATATAAAAATTTGATGATGTGGTGTGATAAGAATCTAGTTCCATTAATTGTCATAAATTTTTGGGTAATTGGCACAGATGGTCCCCAACCTATTTAGTAAGTGACAAGTTGGTCCCCAACCTCTTTTTTTTTGGCAAAACAAACCTCAACCTTTTTAAACGGGTGCAATTTGGTCATTTCCGTCAAAATCTGACCCGATTACAAGGGTTATTTTCGTAAAATCAAGAGTTGTTTTTCAAAAATAATAAATGCTTTTAAAAAACATAATAAAATATAGAAAACAAATTAAAAACTGTCTCACACCTCTCACCACCAACCCCAGATCTCGCCGAGGCTGCTAGCTCGCCGTTCGTAGATCTCCATTTCTTCCAAATCTTGTGCACAGATCTCGCCGTCCATCCGTTGTCCTCGTTAAGATTCGCCACCGACACTAACGAGATCTCACGAACGCTAAAAACGACAACAACGAGATTCCAACGCAAAAAACGAACCGTCCACCACCACCGCCACAACCACCACAACTAAGTCGCTTCCGAAACCCTCATCCACCTCCGCTTCGAAGCCTAAGAGGCCGCCCAACCAATCGACGAAGCTCCTCAGCTTTGCTGACAACGAAGACAACGAAACCCCTTCCCGCTCTAAACCCTCCTCTTCCTCCAAGCTCTCATCTTTCTCTTCTCGCCTCTCCAAGCCCGCGTCTTCTCACAAGATGACTGCTCTCAAAGATCGTCTCTGTCACTCCTCGTCTTCTTCTCCTTCTTCTTCCTCTCTATCTCTTCCCTCCAATGTCCAGCCTCAGGCCGGGACTTACATTAAAGAAGCCCTCCGCGAGCTCCAAAAGAACACCCGAACCCTCGCCAGCTCCAAACCTTTGTCGGAGCCGTCGGAATTGGCAAAGTCCAACCGGAAATTGGACTCCGAGGAGGAAGACGAGCTCAAGGAGAAGAGGGGCGAATTGACGTCGATGGAGATTGGGGCAAAGGGGAGGGATAGGGATAACTCGTCTCCAAATCCGTTGATTCCCGATCAGACCATGATTAGCGCGTTTCAGGCGAGGAGGGAGTGGCTGCAGCTGCGCCGGACTTCATCACGCTGAACGCAAGGAGCAATCACGAGGGGCTGAGCGACGAGGAGCCGAAGAATCAGACATGAATCGCGATGTTCGGGGAGAAGGTGGAGGGGCCAAAGAAGGGTGTGTTCGAGGACGACATTGATGACAGGGGAATTGAATTGGGGTTGCTGAGGAGAAAACAAGTTGTTTTGGAGGAGAATCACGAGGATGATGAAGATGAGGAGGACAAGATTTGGGAGGAAGAGCAGTCCATGAAGGGGCTTGGGAAGACGAGAATTGATGGGTTATGAGATTTTTGAGTTTGGTTACTTCTTTTTTGTGTAGAATGTCATAGATTCTGGAAAAATTTAAGAGCTTTTAGGGAAAAAAAATGACATTTTTTCTTTTTTTTTCAACAAAAAAGAATATAATTAGGTGGAGTAAGGGCAATTTTGTCTTTTCAGGGGTCATATAGGTTTTTACGTGGGTAATTTGACGGATTTTGACGGAAAGGATCAAATTGCACCCGTTTAAAGAGGTTGGGGGTCGTTTTGCAAAAAAAAAGGTTGGGGACCAACTTATCACCTACTAAATAGGTTGGGGACCATCCGTGCTAATTACCCTAAATTTTTTTGTGGTCAACTATATAAATTATAACCGTCGAATTAATATCTTATGGCTAAAACAATGATACCCATTGATGGGTAAATATTGAAATAACCATTAAAACCACACCAGCGCGCGCGCGCGCACACATATATATGTATATTTGGATAGAAAACCTGAAACTTTACTAAAATCTCGAAAAATCAACAAAGTACATTATAGTTTAAAAAACAGGATGGATGAGGTACTGAAAAGTAAAAGCACAAGGAAAAAACAGACAATAGTCACACTCAAAACAAAAAACAAAACAAAACAAAACAAAACTAGACTCCTAAACCAAAATGTCATCACAACTAAGAAAAATCAGTGAAATTGGGAAATCCTTGAAAGATGCATCCATCGACACCCAAGCAAAGGCAAGAATTTTGCAAAACAAATTTTTAATTAACTCCTAGAATGAGTAGAGAATTCGGTCTTCTGAAGATCTCTGTGTTATATTGGTTTTGTTTCATTTTGTTCATTTGGTTTTCTTTTTTTCTTTTTCTTTTTTTTTTTCTGAATCTTTATTAAAGCCATGGACGTGGAAAACTGCAATCAATCAGATTAAATGAGTTTTTTTTTTTTTTTTTTTTTGATAAGAAATGAGAAATTTATTAAAAAATAAAGAAACTAGAAGAGTACAAAAGGGGACAAGACGTCCGCCAAACATTAAGAGAAAAAAGCAAAACAATAAACAACCAAGGGATTAAAAGTACAAACAGAACCCCAGACTCAGCACAAGATAATGTCCCCAGCCCCTAAGCAAGTCTGAAAATGAGACTCCACTAAAATCTTTCGATTGAGACAACCACAATGCAACCCAGTAGATTATTCTATCCCATGCTTTGCTAATGTTTCCTCGAACATCCTCGAATATGATTGTTCCTAACCACAAAGCCCATGAAACAGTGAGTAGAACAACATTCCACAACCTCTTAACATTCTTCTTCCACAAAAAATCACATCCATAAAACTCTGCTACTCTATTAGGAACTGCCCACACGATGCCAAATTTTCCCATAACACGATACCAAATGGCAAGTGAAAACGGACAATGAATGAAAAGGTGGTCCATCATCTCATCAGCATCCCTGCATAAAACACACCAACTGGGAGAAAGATAGAGGTATGGCTTTCTCCTTTGCAACAAGTCCTGAGTGTTTAGATTATTTGACACAAGCAACCAATTAAAAATTTGTACTTTAACAGGAACCGAGGCACTTCAAATAAAAGGACATAGGCTAAAGGCAGGAAAGGATTGATCATCAATGAGAAATTTAAAGAAGGATTTGCATGAAAAGATCCCCAACCCCTCCAGGTTCCACACCCACCTATCACAAATGAACTCGCTCAATCTTACACCCTCTAGACATCCCAATAGCTCCAACAATTCTCCTATTTCCCTCTCACTAGGCTCCCTCCTAAAATGAAAATTCCAAGACGAAGTGCTTCCGCCGTCAGCAATGTGAAATGAAGAAATGGCTGAGTTATGAAGGGCTGAATTTTTAAATAGACTGGGAAATCGGTTAGAGAATGAATCCTCGCCCAACCACATATTTTCCCAAAATCTTATCCTCCTACCATCCCCCACCATGAAGGTAACATTAGCTTTAAACTCATTCTGCAAGGATTGAATGGCCTTCCAAGGGCTTCTGAAGGTAACTCTGTCACAATTACCTGATTCCAACCTCCAAAGCTCGACCCGAATTTACCTCTAATCACTCTGCACCAAAGCAAATTTCCCTCCCTTGGGAATCTCCACAACCATTTTGACAAGAGGGCTTTGTTACGGAAGACCAAATTACCAATTTCCAATCCATCTTTCCCCTTAGGTCCACACACACACACACACACAAAAGAAATCCCTAATCAATTTTTCAATCTTCGTTGCAACTCCTTTAGGGATTTTAAAAATCGTAATGGGACTCCATTCCAATCCTTCTATGCCTCCAATCCACCCCTCTGTTGAAGTGTACAGATTCGTGAAAAATGAGCAAAATTTCATGAACAACTTCCAATTCTCCCATCCACCGTTTCTAATCTAGAAATGGTATTTTGAGCATTCCTGGCATTCATTAGCTTATGGAAGAGTTTGGTGTTAGTATCTCCATCCTTAGCCCAGGAAAATTTTGATTTCATCGCTGTTGCTCTTTCCTCTTTAAGAATCAGCTCGTTCAATTCTTTCTTCACTTTAACCTCTCCTCCACCAATTCAAAAGACCACTCCGAAATACCTTCTTTCTTATATAGTTCCTCAATTCTCTTAGACAATTTCAGCTTTTCCAATGTCAAATACCCAAAAACTTCCTTGTTCCACACTTTCAGCCGATTTCTCAAATTCTTGAGCTTCCTCATGAATTTATATCCCGCCCAACCTTGCACGGGCTCATCCCTCCACCACCCCTCAAAATCTTCTTTGAACCGCCGATGATCTAACCACATGTTTTCAAACATAAATGGAGAAAGTCCCCATTACGGAGGATTCATAGTTAAGATCACCGGGCAATGGTCCCACACTATTCTCATTGCCACCTCTTGCCTTATATTATTATGCATATCACCGAAGGGTACTGAAAAAAAAATCTGTCCAATCTACAACATATGGGCTCCTCTCTGAAATTTGACCATGTGTATAACGCGTTTTCAAGAGGAGGATCAATTACTTCCAACTATATAATCAACTCATCAAACATTTTCATACTTCGGGTTGATGATGAACTATTTGCCTTTTCACTTGCATTTCTCACCACATTAAAATCCCCCCTAAGACACCATTTCTGACCACAAACCTTCTGAAGACCAGCTATCTCATCCCAAAATGATTCTCTTAACAACACTTTATTCAGGCCGTATATCCTCGAAAACCACCAATCATCAATACGCTCCATTCGAATATGAACCGACACTGAAAATTATCTGATCAAACTTTCCAAAACTTGTGCCCTTCTAACATCCCAGATTACCAAAATACCTCCAGCTCTTCCCCTAGATGGAAGAAAAACCCACTCCTTAAATCTTGCCTTCCAAATGCTTCCAATGAACATCCTGTAAACCTCTTGTCATTTAATCTCCTGCAACACTACTACATCTGGACTTTCCTTGCAAATCACTTTCTTTATGCTGCTTCTCTTTAAAGGGCAGCAACTACCCCGAACATTCCATATCATGAGCTTCATTTATCAACTTTCGAGCCCCTCTTGCTAGCAGACTTATCATAATTCACATTAAAAGCTAAACTCTGCAGCTCTCTATTACCTCCTCTCTTTCTTGCTGATTTCCCAATCTTCCTCATTTTTATTACTTCTTTCCTTTTCAATTCCAATTTCCCATTACATTCCTTTACGGTTTGGTAATTGCGCCCTTAATTTAGTAAAAATTCTTGAAAATAATTGCAAGAACATTTTGGATGGGTCATTAGATTAGAAAACCTTGACACTTGGAGCAGCTCTCCTTTCAAAAAGGGCATTTTCTTTAATAAGATTCTCTTGAAGGACAAGTAGTACCCCTATCATTGATTATAGCCAATTGTTTCTTCTCTCTTAGAGTTTTATACTACCTAGATGCACACTAAAGAATTCCCCATAGCAAAAAATTTGGTATCTAGTATGCATCAATCTATGTAATGCTCCCTAGACGTCCTATCATGAATCTGAGACAAGTAAAGAAACATAACACTTATTTACTCTTTTTCACCTATAAGGATAAATCTTTTCTCCTATAAAAGATACTGCGCCAACAAATCTAGGTCACATGGTGTATGTGCCAAAAAAAATAATCAAAGTAAGAAATATACACGTTAAACCAGAAGGCAAAACGTTTGAAATAGAAAATTCTGCTTATGATAGAAGGATAAAAACAGCAGTAGTCTTGGAAAAAGCACACTAATTGGAAAATATAAATATAAATGGGTAAAAGTATTTCCCTTTTTGCAAATGCTGACCATGTACGTAGTTGTGGGCTTCTATCAATAACGTTTTACATACTTTCCTTTTTCTTCGATTGTATTGAGTTGGAAAGATGTAATGGAGAATTGAAGGTAATGGGGAGTTAATTTATTTCATTTTCTTTTCGTTTTCTTTTTTGTTTTTCTTTGAGGACATCTTTTCCTCTTTCTATTGTATCATTGTCAGTTTTAATAAAGTTTTGTTTCTTGTCAAAAGATATACACAAGTTGACCAACTGAATATATATATATACACACACACATAAATATATATATATATATATCTTTAATAAAAATCCAATACTGAGTTTACCATAGTGAGATCCTTCTTGAGTCCGATTCCAGTATGAAACATCTTTGCTAGCTGGTAGAATGCCTTTGGTTGACCGGCATTCGCAGCTACCATAAAGTATTGACATGCTAGTTTGACATCCCTTTTTACCCCGATCCCTTTGAGATACAGTACTCCCAAGTTATAATGCCCACCAGCATCCTCATTTTCAGCAGCCTTCTCAAAATATTCTTTTGCCTGTAATAAATGGTGGCTTAGAAATCAATTTGTATATACATATATTGCTGATAGAAAGGAACATGACTACACAGAAAGAGGAATTTCATTGCAGTAAATACTAGTTGCTCCACAAACAAAGCAAAGTTGACATATACCAAATGATTTTAAACAAAAGTACACACTGGAAAATCCCTCATGCTCCATTTTTAAAAATAGCATACCAACTAGTGAACAAATGTGCCCAATCTAGGCTTTCTTGACTATAAACACAAAAGGCTGATGTATCCCAGGCGTTTTAGCTTCAATGTCTTTCTTTGAATATAATTTGTAAATATAAGACTCAAATTAGATCTTTTCATACTAAAAAGTTCCCTGTTGAAACCTCCTAGAAGCTGCTCACTACGTTAACCAAAATCACATTAAATCACATAGATCAAGCAACGAACAAAGTCTGAGTCTTACTTTGGTGTAGTTTCTCTTTTCCACTCCATAGCCCTTGACATACAAATACCCCATTCCATTATAAGCTGAATAAAGATGCTGCTTCGATGCAAGAGTGAGCCATTCCAGTGCTTTTGTATAGTTCCTCTCCACCCCAGCCCCCCTTGCATATATCTCTCCCAAAAGCTCCATCGACCTCGGCTCACCCTTCTCCACAGCCTTAAGAAACCATGACAATGCCTTGGTATGGTCGCGCCGCAACCCTCTCAGTCCAAAGTAGTAGAAAAGACCAATTTTATACATGGCAGCGGCATTCCCTTTCTGTGCCTGGTACTCCAGAATTTGAAAATCCTCGTCCTCCTCCCCTCGAGATTTTCTCAGAGCCTCCTTATTCTCCTCAGCTCCACTGTGAATCCTCACTGGTTCAAGCACTGGCGAATCCTTTGATATCAAGAAGCTGTTAACTGCAACTTCAGCTAATTCGGAGTAAAGTCTCACTGCTTTCTCATACATCTGTAACCATAAAAACAAAAAGGTAATAACGAATAATCCAAGGTTTTATTCTTTTACTTTCCTAGCAACCAAACAGAACATTAAAAAAAAAAAAGCTCGAAGTTTTGCATTTGAAGAACAATAAATAAATAAAAAAGCTCAAAGTTTTGCATTTGAAGAACAATAAATAAATAAATAAGTCCTCCATTAATTCGTTGACTTCCTAGGCAACCTAATAGAGCCTTCATTCTGGGGAGAAAAAAATGTTTCGTGCTCAAATGAAAAAAGTTCCAGAAATCCTACATAATTGATTTCCTTTCCTACACGACCCACCATAATACAATTTGGAATCTGATAAACCTGACAGAAGATAGAATTTTGCAGAGAGAGAAATTTGGAGTGAGAAAGTGATCATACATCTTGCTTAAAGTACGTATAGGCGAGAGACATTTTGGACTGCATATTACCACCCTCAGCGGCAAAGTGATAGTACATGAAGGCCTTCGCCTTGTTCTTCTCCCTCATCTGCCCCGAGCCGTGCAGAAACCCTAGCACGGACCTCGCGTGGGGATGGCCGTAGGATGCTGCGGCCTCGATCTCCGACACGCCCTCGTCCATGAGCCCCTCTTCGCTGGCGCTCATCGCTCTGACCATCTTCGACACGCCGGAGTAGTACAGCGAATCGGGCTCCGACGACGGCTCGGCGGCCGAAGAGTCCGGCTCGAAGATCGGCCGCCATGAGCCTGGGTCGAGCTCCTCATCGGACTTGTGAGAATCGGAGTCGCCGAACTCGTCCCACTCGGCGGAGTCGGGATCGGCGGGGTTGTCAGAGTCCGGCGAGTTGACGGCGTCCTTGATGTCGTCCTGAGAGATGACGAGGACGAAGGGTCGGGCGTAGAGGGAGATTGGGAAGAGAGAGAAGATGAGGAGAGAGAAGATCAGTCTTCTGTGAATTGGGATTCGCATTTGTGGTGCTTCTTTGTGGTGGAAGAAGAAGACGAAGAATGGGGAGGAATGAAACAGAAAATATGAGTTTTTGTTTATGTTGTATGGGAATGGAAGATGAAAAATGGAACGTGGAACGGAAGATGAAAAATGGAACGGAAGCTGAAGAATTGGAAGGGTAAAAAAAGCCACGTCCTTAGATCTACGCACATTTTCTGGCCACGTCAAAGTTAGTACTTGATCGAATTATATACTGCCACGTTTACATTACAAGCATCTACGATCTATCTATTCATATTACATATTATTGATTAATTACAAAAATACCCTCAACCTATAACCTTTTCAACACTTTACTTCTGATATTTAAAATATAACATTGTTCTTGTTCTTTTTAAATAATAAAATGTTAATAAAGATGGGTTTTTAATAGAAATTGCAATTTAATTAATTATTTTAAAAGTATTTTGATAATTTTATGATATAAAATTTAATATAAATTTAAAATTAATTTAAATTTAGACTTTTAATTATGAAACATTTATTATTAATTTTGTCATTAGGAGTGAAGAATATTTATTTTTTTTAATTATATTGTATCTAAATTAGACTAAAAATTAGGGTGCGTGGTTAAAATAGTAATTGTGCTCTAAATTGTTTAACAACAACGGTTATTTATGTGACATGTGTCAAAAATTATTAAATTTCTTAACGAATGGAGAATTTTTGTTACTATTTGATTGTTTAAAAAGAATGTATGTTATATTTTAAAGATTAAAAGTTAAAGTGTTACAAATGGCATAATTCAGGAGGAATTTTAGGGCTCGTTCACTTCGCGGATTCGAGTTTTTAATTCGAGCTGAGATGTGACATCTTGTGAGAGCTTTTTACTGTAGCAGAAAAAGTTAGATGTGACATTTTTTAAGAACTTTTTATTGTAGAAATCTAAAACTGAAAACTCGAATCGGTGAAATGAATAAGGCTTTAATAATTAATCCTTACTAAAAGAATAAGAATGTCTCCTTTACGGTGCTCTTGAAGAGCTTTCCCATGCTGCTATGTTAAAGCTCCTTAGCTCCCTTTTTTTTCTCTTTTTACTTTGTTTAACTTTATTTTTAAAAACTTTTAAATGTTTTGTTTTTAGTTTTTTTTTATAGCCTTCTACTAGGGGTGTAAATTGGTCGGGTTCGGCCGGGGTTCACTCATTTTTTCAGCCGAGCCGACGTAATCGGGGTGAGAAAACCATTAACTGTAACACCCTGACAGGACCATAAACCTGTAGAAAAGAGGCATGCTCGGGGTCGGCTTGGCCGAGTGTCCTCAAATTGGGCAAATATTACGTCCTTGAGTCTCAACAAGAAGTTCTCATTCTCTTCACCAAAAACAACAATATATTATGCCAAAAGGGTATGAGAATCCCCAAAATTTTGTAGAACAAGGATGACAAAGTATCAAACAAAACAAAAAACAAGAGTGAGACTGTTTCATGAGAGGAGATTTGAGACTAGACTTTTAGCAAGAAAGAGAAAAACAGAGAGCAGCTAAGCAAGAAGGTGAGAAAGAGAATGAGAAATATCATATTTGAGAGGAAGGCGGCAAGCAAACAAAGTAACTGACCTTTAGAATTTTTTTTTAAGAAGATTTTATATGGTTTGCAAAATGATTGTCGTTTTAAGTTTTATATTATATATATATAACCTTAAAGAAATCATATGTGCGGCCGGATCGAGGTGTTACGGATTTTACATACTCAAACCTGCACTCCGGCCCGCAACTTTCAGACTCGGCCCTTATAAAGCCGAAAAAGAAAAATAAAATTTCAAAACCGAGATTTTCAGCCTATTTCTGCTTGGGTCGGCTGGGTACCTCAGATTTGCGGTTTTATTTACAGCCCTACCTTCTACCAGTGTAATTTTTTTTTACCATTTATCTTATTAAAATCACATTGGATTAAAAAAAATATGTAGAGTCGATAGTTTTTGATATAGATCTAGCTGAATGTAAGAAATTAGCAGTAGTTTATTTTTTTAGGGCCTACTAGAGAAACTGCTTCTTTTATTATTTTGTGAATATTTTTTTGAGAAATCCTAACAAATACATATTCAAAGTGCATGAATTTTAATTTTTACCCTTTACTCTTAACTAACATCTTTTTAGTTAAATAAAGGGTAATTTACACAAATGATCCCCAACCTTTTTAAGAAGTGACAGTTTGATCTTTAATTTTTTTTTGTACAAAATAACTCACAACCTTTTTAAAATGTGACAATTTAGTCATTTCTGTTAATATCTGTTAAATTCTTCACATAACGTGTCACGTGACCCATCATGTGACTTTTTTCTAATGAAATGACTTAAATGCTCCCATTTAGAAAGACTTCTTCTTTTTTCCCTAAATTTCATCTCCAACTGCATCGAAGATTGCACCCTCAAGCAGGAATCCCTCGCCGGGGTCACCGTTGTCGAGCACGTCCCCCTCCCTTGCCTCGTTGTCGTGAAGATCAAGTCCGCCGCCGCCGTTCTCCTCCACTCCCTCACGTACCTTCCGCGCGCCGCCCAGTGCCGCCTCCGCCCTTACCAGCTCATCCTCCGCCGACTGCTCCGTCGACTCCGCCCTGGCCTTCGACCTCAGCCTCCGCCTCATCCTTGTCGACGCCTCCCGCGCCAAGGAGATCGCCGACACCGTCATGGCACTCATCCTCGGCCTGCTCCGCCGGAGGCACCTCCTTTCCCACCATCCGCTCTCCGCCTCCGGTTGGCTCGGTTCAGTGCAGCCGCTCTACCGAGGGATGAGGCGCTGCCGTGGCCTCATCTTGGGGATTGTCAGTAGATCTGCTTCGGAGCGGTCTCTGGCTTATCAGAGCTTGGCTTTCAAGATGAGCGTGCTCTACTTTGATGTTCAAGAGGTAATCATTCTTTAGAGGTTTGTTTTTACATTCCCAAAATTAACAGAATCTTCAATGAAAAATGATTGTAAATTTGCTCAATTTGCTGAAAATGTGCTTCGTTTGGAGTTCGCAAATTCAATTTAAGCTGTTTAAAGCGTATATACAATCTTTATCATGCATGAATCGCATAGAAATGTGAGAATAATTTGTCTTTTCATTGGGATTGTTGTGTCAGAGTTGAAAAATTCAATTAATAGGATTTTTACCAATATGCCCGTATAAGAAAGTCATGTGAGGGGCAAGTGGAATTTTTTGTGAAGAATTTAACATAGGTTAACAGAAAGGATTAAACCGTCACTTTTTAAAGAGATTGAGAGTCATTTTAAAAAAAAAAATTAGTAACCAAATTGTCACTTCTGATTACTTATATAAATTACTCTTAAATAAATATATTAACAAAATGGTACTAATGAAAAGTAAGGAGTGAAAATTTAGACTCGTACACTTTTAAAGATAAGTTTAACAATTTTCTCATGTTTTTTTCTTATTTTCATATCAATTTTTTACATATTTTTTAAAATCTTTTACCTACATATATATTTTTTAAAATCTCTTGCCTACGTACCTCTTATTAAAAGAGAATGTTTCCTTCCACGGTGCTCCACGGTAAAAAAAAAAATTACCTGAAATTTTAGTAACTAAGTAAAATTAAAAAGATGAATAATTTAAAAGGAAGTTGTAATTATTAACTTTAATTCGTAATTCAAATTTTCTTTGAGTTAATTTCACGAAAATTAAAAATGATGCGAGAAATAATGGAAAATATTATAATTATATGAAATAAGCACGAGGATTTTATAAAAGTAGGCTTAGAGACCTATTGTAAAGATGCTTTTATGTTTGGTCAAATTTTTGCCGACAAATATTTTAAAATTGTTGAAAATAATTCCAAAACCTTCATGAATGTAAAGAATTGCAATATTTAAATAAACTATGTTTCAAAATAAGTTTCAAAAAAAAAAGAATTACTTGAAATTTTAGTAACTAAGTATTTTACTTTCAAAATGTTTTAGGAAATTATTATTGTATATTCCGCATTAACTCACGATTAGTAACTGCTCAAGAAAGTGAGTCGTCATAACTTTTTTGTATTTATCATAGAATGATGTGGTATAATTTAATTAGTAAGACACCAACTTTGACACTAAATATTGGAGACATACACCTTAAAAAGAAGGGGGAAGACATGCCTTACCTAGGAGTTCTGCAAAAACTAAACATTTCTACAAGAGAAAATTGGATCCACAACAGACCTCATGGATGAAGTCCACCATGGAGAATTACTCTGGGTGTCATTCGTATGGATAAGGGTGATAATTTGTGTTACGTGTCGTGTTTTGATCATTTTTTTTTTAAATTTACAGTCAACCCAAACACGACCCGTGACACGAAATTTTTTAAAAACCGCAACACAAACACAACACGACCACTTTATGGGTTGACATGACACGACACGAAAATGACCCGTGACACGAAATTGACCCGTGGACCCGAAATTGACACGAAAATTGTATATTTTTATTTAGTTTTTTTACATATTAGAAATAACTTAAAATTTAGAACACACCATAATACAATAACATCGGTTGAAATTAAGCAAATAATAGTATAAGATTTTGAGTATAACTATCATGATATCACAAGTTCATAATAAAATTAAAAATATGTAATGAAAAATATATGTATTTTTTAGTTTTTTATAAGTTTCTATCGTGTTCGGGTTAGGCAGGTCCAACTCGAAATTGATCTGTGTTTTACGTGTCAATTTCAGGTCGACTCAATTCTGACCCGAACATTTTTTTTCTCAACCTTAACCCGCGAAATTCATGTCGTTTTCGAGTCGTGTCGTGACCCATATTGCCGGTCCTAAGGTTAATATTTTTTATTTTGCTATTGTAATTTTTAATTACCTAGAGTTTGTGCCAAATCGGCAGAAAAATATAAGTTATAGATGCGTTTCTCTATGTGGTGTGAAATCTACTTCGGTGATTTCATAGTTTTATGATGATTTATTTTTTTTAATCGACTTCAAATTTGTATCCTACAAGTGCGCAAACAACACAGAATTCCATGAAAGAAATTAATGGAGTAAAAGGATAATGGATGAATTTTAGAACTTAAACCTTGTTTGGTAGGAAGGACAACTGGCAAGATGAATTAGTCGATGGATTTTAAGATTTATGTTTGTTTAGTGGGAGGGATTTAGGATGGAATGTACCGGCCGTGGGTTCAAAATTCTCCATAAATTTGACGATTTTAGTTAATTTTAATTTCACAAATAGTCCTTGTTGTTTACTCTGATCTTATTTTGGTCATTGACTTTAAAACGTCATATAATTAGTTTCTGAGATTTTATTTTATTTCAATGGTAGACATTCTATTAGTATGGTGTTAAATATTTGACGGAATTAGTATAAATTACAAATTATGGACCAAAACTGAAATAAAATAAAATCTCAAGAACGAACTGTGAAGACGTTTGAAAAATCAGGGACCAAAGTGGGATTGTTTATAGAATTAACCTTTTTTTTTCAATTGACTTCGTATCTATACTCTTTGGGTCCGTTTAGTTTGATGATTCGAGTTTTTAATTCGAGTTGAGATGTAACTTTATGTAAGAGTTTTTTACTGTAGTAAAAAAGTTATATGTAATTGTTTCTGATAGTTTTTTACTGTAACAAAACTTGAATTCTAAACTCAAATCTGCGAAATGAACAGGGTCTTTAAGTGCACGAACAACCTAATTTTGTGAAATGAAGGATAAGAGTAAGAGAAAAATAGATGAATTTTAGGACTTAGGCCTTGTTTTGCAGTAGGGAAA